TGGTGGTGCTGCGGGCCGTTCCGCGGCTGCGGAGGGTTCCTGTCGGCGTAGGCGCGTAGGAGCTGTGACTGGGGGAAGCGTTCCGTGCCCTGTTATGTGGGAAGGGAGTGTCCTTCGCCGGGTGCCTGGGGAGCCGCAGATCCTCCGGTTAGTCACGTTCTGGGAGGGAGATGTGAGCCTGGTTCAAGTCTGTGCTGGGGAATGGAGCAGTCGCTGCACGCAGCCATGGTTCGTGCCTGCAGGTAAGGACGAAATGACTCAGAAGTGTTTTTAAAGCGGTTATTTTGTCTGTCAGTCAGATTGCTGCGATTTCAAGTAACTGTTTCGTTTTAAAGAAATATTTTGAGGTACTGAATGCACATGAGGTTTCCTGGCGTGAAATAACCTCCTGGTGATTATTTTGTTGATTTTAAATGATCTAGCCCTGCTCACTCCTGTTTTCCTTGCGACTGAATTTCAGGAGAGATTTTGATTTTCAAAATCACTTAAATCCAGAGCAGCATAATACCTTTTTTCCCCCCAAATTATTAATGGTAATCATTTTGGCTGTATGCAAAAGACCATACAAATGTTCTGTTTTGCCATTTTAATATTGAACGTTGGCAGAAAAAAAGTGATTATTAATTTTAAGCACTGAAAATGTGCTGAAATTTAGCTGAAATTATTATTTAAAGTATATTTTAATGAAATGCTCAGCATAGAAAGACATGATAACGAACTGAAAGCTGTCTTAAGGAAACAGTCTAAAAGACGTCTTTCAAAATGAATGAGTGCTGTGTGGCATGTGTGGTTTTAAAAAACAAAATGAGCGATTTAATTTGAGTGTATTTGTATAAAATGCTTAGAAGCAAACTGCATTGCCTTTCACCAGCTGTAGTATAACAAAATATCAGCAATGAGCAATACAGAAAATGGTGGGGGGGAATGGGTTGTTAAGTCACCTTTCCAAAATGGAGAGATACAAGAGGTGCTTTGAGAGAGATTTTATTTATTTATTTATTTATTTAAAAAATACTAATGAAATAAAATGTTAATTTGTTTACCTCTATCGCAGCCTGTTGCCAAAAATTTTAAAATACAAGACTAATATAATGGTGGTGATAACAGAGAGGATGATGGGGTGAAAATAGTAAAGGAAACAGGTGTTAACTTGATTTTTGGAAAGGCTTTGGTTGGCATTGCTGGAGGGTGGAATTCAGTGCATCATACAGATATTTATTTTATCAACATGAATGTTATGCAGCACCCTAAAACTGATCAGTCTGGTTTTGAGCAAAACATGCTCACGGTTGAACTAACGGTAGTCCTGAGCAAATAGGTCCCTGTAAAGGATTATAACACTAATTAGAAAAGGTGCATTTGTCTGAGATCCATTTAAATGCCATTCATTTAAAAATTAAGATTTTATAGCAGTGATGCATTATCTTGCAGTAAACATTAGAATGTGAATGTTGTATATGTACATAGATTCCTTTTGAGGATTTAAATGTGTGGTGCTGTTCATCTGGAGGTTGATTTGACACATCAGCTGCACAATTTATGTGGTCAGTTATAAATGAAAACAACTTTATATAGAATCTGAGATTTTTTTTTTTAAATAACCACATTCTTTTCACTTATCTAAAAATAGGCTGAATTTTTTTGCAAGCTGTTATGAAACAGAGCTGTCTGTCCTATTAGCTGCCAGTTCCTTTCAAGGCCCTTTCAAAATTACTGTATAAGGTATTTTAAAAAAAAACCCAACATAACTGAATGTCTGAGCTGCTAAACTGTCCTCAGTCTGCTGTATAGCAAAATTGCAGTGTATGTTCATAACATACAGATGTGAAAATATGCATGTTTTTGGCAAACACAGAAAGGGAATTCATACCTGGAATTTTTTTTTTCTTATCAATTTTTACCCTTGCTCTTAGTAGTTGGACTTTTTGAGAAGCTGGAGTTCACCGGGTAGAAGATCTGAAAGGGTCCATGGCTTGTTTCTTGTTTTACACACTAGCAGAAGCTGCTAGACAGTGCTCACGTAGCAGGAGCGGAGGGGAGACAAGGCACTCGGTGCATTTAGAGAAACTGATGAGATGGGAATAGAGAAGGAATGAGGGAGAAGCCCATTACTAGGCTCTTTCTTTGGTTGGTCTTTGTTTTTGCAGGGCAGTTTAGTGTTTGTAGGTTTTCCTGCTCACTTGGCGAGTTCTACATGTTACCCTACCCTAGAGGAAAAAAGTGATGAGAAGGAAGCTGGAATATAATGGATGGTTTGGCTGTTACGGAAGCTCAACATGTTAGAAATCCTGCAGCATTCTTTTAAGCTAGTTGGTTGCTGTGTTTTTAAGAGGCTTTTATGAGACATTAGCAAGAAAGGGAGATGAACCTTTTTGTTGAGGATCCTCTGAGGTGTTAAAGATGTTACAGCTTTGAAAAGGTGTGTTAATACACACCTGAGATATTTTTCATAGTGAGATTCAGCCTTCTGTTCCCCTTTCCTCCCCCTTAGAAAAACTGTCATTGCAGATGGGGGGAGATGAGATATCTGGGTTTAGGTGTGTTATAGGCTGTTTCATTAAGCAGACGCAATCAGACAGCATCTGTAAGTCCTAAATTTCTGAGTAGTTGATGCTGCCCGTGTACTTGTTAGCAGCCTGTGACAAAGTCCTCGTTCCTTGTTGATAAGGTAACTCGGGCAACTGCAGATGCGTGTGTGCACATGGACGGTTACGGCGGATCAGGTAACCTACTGTAACTTGTTACACTGAATTGATTTGTTTGGATGTCTGAGCTGTAGGTATACCGTGGAAATGTTTTCCAACAGCATGCTGACAATGTGACACAAGCCTGGTTTCTTTATCTAATAAACAGTAATTTAACTACCATGTACCCCCACTTTCTTTGTGTTTCAGTGGAGGCTGTGTGAGGTTACTTGTCCAAGCCTTGCAAATGTCATTAGAAACCAAGGAGCAGCAGCCAGATGGAGGAGGATGGTCTTTCAAGAAACCTCAAAGAAAGCAAAAATACTTCTATTTCGGTTGTACAAGTTACACACCCTTCACATGTACAGTATAGTCAACCCTTTCAGCTGTGCGGATATTCTTTTTTGCCTTTGTAAAGGCTTTGTGGAACTCCTTGCAAGTTTCTGTTTCATCTTGAGAAAATGTTTTTCCACCTGGATCAATTTCTACTCCTTAGACCGTGAACCTAATGTATGTAGGGTTTTTCTTTTTCATACTTTAGGACAGAGAACTTGGTATTTTTTTTAGCTCTGATTTTGGATTCTATATTTATGTCATCTTAGCAAGGCAGTTTGACCACAGGTTATTTACTGGTAAAGGTTATGAGCAAGGCCGATAAGTCTGAAGTATTTGACCTGCTCTTTCCTGTCTTTCTGCAAAGGCTGTGTATGCACGTTTCTTTAAAATGAATTTCTGCTTCAGTGTTTCTTTTAAAAAAATAACAGCAGCCATTCATGAGCAGTCTTAAAGTAGATAACCTGTGTGTGTATAATTTGATTTTCATGATTTTGAGGGGATTTATAAATAGCGGTAAAGGGAAGATACTTTCAAATGACAGTAGGACAGCAAAGTCTGTGTTATTCAATGTGTACAGAAGTATTTGGGGTGGGGTGGTGCAGGAAAGGTTCAAGGATAACTGGGTTTTTTTTGGCTTTTTAGCCTTGGGCTTTGTATACCACTCTCTCTTTGTAACTTAGCTTTGCAGAGCAAATTAATATGTTTCTCGGTGCTTTTACATGGTTTCTTCATCAGGTCATGCCAAGAACGCAGTCAGGGATAAAGTAAAGGAGAAAGAAATGTAAAATAATGAGGAGGAAGAAAAAAGATGGAGACTGGGTGCTGTCTGCTTCCTTTTCTAAGGAGAGACCTCATGTTAGTTGATCTAAGAGGCATTGTGAAACAAATGATGCTGAAGGATTCCTTCAGTTTTATTAACATGGAAATTTTTTTGTTCTGATTTTGTGTGTGTTTTCCTTTTTTAAAATTTAATTTAATTGTGGATGCACTGCTTCTCCTAAGGCAGAAGTGTCACTTGTAATGAAGTACAGAAATAAACCACGTTTAAAAGTAGAAGAACCATCAGCTAACAACATTCAGTATGAGCTGATACTGCTGTGTGTCAGATAAATGTTTTGGAATAGTTGTTAGATAACAGGTAATTATAAGAGAATAATTCTGTTGTTATTTATGTAACTAACATTGAAACAAAAAAGTAATCAGCAGAATAATGTAACTATTTCATCAATTCCACTAACTTTTATACACATTTTTAAAATACCATCCTTTCTTTAGCTGTCTCCTGCTTCACTTTTCTCTTACACTTTAAAAAAAAAATGGCCTAGCTTCTGTTTCAGGGCGGTTCAAATTTATTTTTAGTAGTCATGCAACTGTAATTTTTCAATTTTGTTTAAAATAATATATGATAACAATGAACAGTGAATGTTTTTCTCTCTTTTCAGTGTGTATTTTTTTCTCTTTTTTTCCAAAATTGCAAGCTAGTACTGCTGTTTGTTGTATTTTATCTCAGAAG